AGGTAAGGAGAACTTGTGAAACAAGATACAATAGATTTGGCAGGAAATTGATGTTGATACCTGTACCAATCTGATCCTCTCTATATCTGAAAGAATTCATGATATAATAAAAGCATGAAGTGGTTATACAAGATAGTAGTATAGATCAAATCCTATTTGATATAGACAGAAAAAAATTTTTTTTGATTAAATTTAATTTAATTTTATATATTGTATTTGAGTTGTGTTCAAAATAAAAATAAGTAATACAACAGTATTTATTGAATAAACATATAATTTGTGAGATAATTGTCTTATTGATTCATATTTAATTTTTACTATTTAAAAATGATACTATTAACGAATAAAACCCATAAAAAAATAAAAAGATATCTTTAAATTTGCACCAAATGTTTTAATTTAATGAAAAAAATTTTTTGTTGCACTAATTATGATTGCCACTGTATATTATTAACTGAGTTCTGATTTTCAGATAGAATAATATCATTCTCTAAGTTGCATCTAGAGAAGTTAAACTTCTATGATGAGTGAGCTGTCATGTGAAAGTCTTTTAAATTGTATAATAATTTTAATATGCACAATAAAGATAAGCCATGTCAACCTGATGACAGGCCAAAAAAAAAAAAAATATATAGTCTCTATATAGCATATACTGTAAATTATATAACTCAAGTTATTTAAGTAATAAGTCAATTATGAACTCAATTCATATTTGAAATAATTATAGTTTATATGTTAAATATTATATAAATTGTCTCTATATTCTTATTTAAGATTCACTGAAATATACAGTACATGCTAAGATTTCTTTATGTCTAGATCGTAACGCATAATGAAATAAACAGACTAAGCTTTGTGTTGTGATTTGAAATGGTCGATATTCCGGGATTATAACTGACGATATGTTTGGAATGTCACTAAATAATTCTTTTATTAATCCTTGTTCTACTGTATATACTGACTTTTAGTAGGTTTAATTTCATCGGGTTCCATAATTTCATTTTGTCGATCGTCACGTAAGCTCGTGACGGAAATTTCTTGGCATTTTTCTTTTCCACCTTCATGATATTGCTCGGGAGAGATAGAAGTATCTGAAATTAAGTCCCGGGATCGGCCTTCTTCTCTCTATTGCGTTGCTTTATCTCGCCACTAACTCCTTCCTTATTTTTCGGATCTAAAAATTCGTCGATCTCTTTATTTTCTGACGATTTAGGCTCGGACGAGTGTGCATGAATATTGGAAGAAATATTAAATGGTGCTTCGTGGAGAATAGAATCTTCTAATACGTGTACCCAATCATCTTGTGTCTGCTTCTGTTCCAATTTTGTTACTCTGTCACTGAGCTCAGCATTTTCAGCAGTGAGATTACTGATATTTGTTTTATTTTTCTTTTTCAGCAGTGAGATTACTGATATTTGTTTTATTTTTCTTTTCCAACTCTTCGATTCTGCTCTTAAGCTCAGCATTTTATTCCGTAGCCCGCTTTAATTTCGTATTCTCAGCCTTAACTTCAGCATTCTCTTTTCTAAGTTCAGAAATCTCGGCCAAAAGCTTCGAATGTAATTCTTGTAACGAATCGATTTTAGATTCCGTATTTGCCATTATTTTATACAAGATACAGATGTGTTCAAAAGTTTGAATTAAATCACGAAAAAAAAAAAATCAATCACTTTTGCCAAAAAAAAAAAAATCGTGTGATTAATGATGTAATTGTGCAATAGATACTGTAAATAGAATATAATGTCTTTCCCAAGGGTCTTCGTTGGCCGCAAAAAATATATATTAATATTAATATTATATTTTTGATATTGCACTTTCCACTTTATCTTTATTTCTTTTCGGAACCTGATACAGTTTCTTTATCCTCCCACACTTTCGAAAACTTTGATAACCCGTTCTACTATCTTGTACGAGCGTATTTGTTGTTTTCGATTATTGCTGAGTGGAATTTCTAATCACATTCTCACTATTTGTAGGGTGCCATCGGATTGGGAACTATTGGCATTTATTTGACTCTGCTTGGTTTCTTTTGTACTGTGGATCTTGTTTACGCTTGTTGCCGAAGCAAATATAATAGCAAACCTCTTATTAAGACCACAGACAAAGGCAATCGACTTGGAATTGGAGTTTCAAGTGTTAAATTTTTTCCGCGAACTGAAATTGCAGAACATCTTAAAAGAATTCTTCAACCTGATGAAGATCAATCACTTTATTACTTGATCTGCGGTGAACATAACCGGGAAAACTACACTGATCAAAACTGCATCAAGTGAAGTTGGTCGTGGCGTCGTATATGTTGATATTCCTGCTCATAATAAAAATTTGGACGTAACATTTGGCGTAGCATTTGGGCAAGCTCTTAACTTTGCATTTGAAGGGCAAATCTCTTTTACAAATCAATTAATACGAAAATTGGGCAGTACTAACAGTGAGTTTATTTTTATAACAGCAAGCATTTCTGATCCTTTTTTCTTTTTTGATAGACAATTCTGATGAACCGATGTGGTGTAGAGCTTTGGAAGCTTTTAAGCGTGGTGCTAAAGTGTATAAAGCGAAACGTGGCAGACCTGCGGTTATTGTTTATGATAACGTTAGCCAGTTGATATCAAAACATCCAGATATCCTTGATACCCTCCAAGATGATGCCAAAAAAATGCAGATGACCAAATATACATTGCGGTGTTTGTCAGTAGTGAAGGCGCAATTCCAAGAAGAATGGAATGTAAGGATAGACATTATTCTTTACCCTTAAAGGAAACATCACTTATGATGCCTACTGCAGATCGTAGTTCCTGGTCACGAGCAAAAAAGCCACCAATAGAAATCGGTGACCTTAACGAGGAAGAATCAATAAAATATCTGACTGAGATACATAAGATCACCGAAAAAGTGGAAGAATTATATCAATTGGTCGGTGGTCGCATTTTGGAGTTGAAAGATGTTGCAAATGATTTTTCGTCAGGACAATCCATTGGAGGTACGCATAGGTTTCATAATTTGTATAATTCTGCTTTGGATTAACTGCCTATCTCATTTTCTATAGATATCAGGGAGAAAATATTACTTGAAGCCTATAACAAACTTAATTCAGCGAAAATACTTAAAAATCAAAAACATCATGAAGCAGGAAAACGTGTAATTGACGCTTTGCTGAGATCCAAAGAAATTAATATTGAAGAATTTAGAAAATTATTTGAGAATGAATAGGAATACGGTGAAACCTTAGAAGCTAACGTGTTTGCATTTCATCCTTCAAGAAATACCGTGGGTTTCCAATCGCAATCAATAGAATATTACATTCGGAAAAATTTGCTGATCTAGTTAGCCTCAGTTCTAATTACGCATCAACTTCCAAATCATAAAACAGGCGAGAAACGAAATTTATTTGCAATGTAATTCTCCAATGTGCTAAACGAAATATATGACATCAAGGCTTAGCATAATATATCGTAATAAATTTTAGAAAAAAATGTCCACTATATCGACACTTTTCAATCACCGTTAAGAAATAAAAACCCGGCGGGCCAGTTTATTAAAGTAAAAAAATGGACGGATTTATTACATAGCAGTCACACGACTTTTCACGTCTAAAATTTTATCATATGATTTTCGTTCATTACACAAATTACCACAATTAGTATTCATAAATTCTTAAGACAAATTGTTTCTGAGGTCTCTATATACAAAACGGTACATAGAACATACAAAATTGATATCTCTTATAGAATGCAGTGCTTTTAAAAATGCTAATCATTTTATCTTCATTCGTTAAATAATCCTTCAGTTCGTGAAATCTTGTCATGAAAAGTAGCTCACCAATTACATTAAAGTTAAAGCTTTTGACAAAATGTATCCTTGAAAGGGTTATACATTATAAGCATAGTAAAGAATATTAAGAGGAAACTGTTTTATAGTATGTATATTACTTGTTTTTTATCTATCTAATTTTATTTTTGAAACTACTCTGATATTTTAATACATATTTATTAATTTCAAGTTAAATCTATCTAGAATTGTATAATTTTAATAATAAAATAATATTATGATATCTCTATAAGCTTTTTCATTCCTTTATAATAATTATACCATCAATCTCAAATTTATTTTGATATCCAATATCCAGTATACTGTAATAAATCTTTAACTAGCTCATTAACAACTTTTTTGAACAATATAATGAAATATTTATATTCTTTAAGCTGTTTTAGAATCTGTTCATCAATAACAATGGGCTTGTATATTATATGCTTTATTAGTATGATATTTAAAAAGCAAATTCTGAAAATAAATTGGTTTTATATAATAATATCAATTGTAAAACTTCATTAATCTCTTTAACTTTTATATAATAAAGTTTTGAAACCTATATAATTTTACTATATACTTTCTTTATTATATTTTTTGCATTGATTTTACATATTTTTTGTTTTCTATAAACTTTATAAAAATCAAATTCTACTTACATTGTCCTATTTTCATTTGTATAATAATAATAATAATATTTTTTTTTTTATAATCCTCTGTCAGGCTAGTTATATATGCTTTATTAAATAATTGTAAGCTATACATTATATATGTATTGCTAAAGCTAAATCTTTAACTAACTTACTCATCAATGTCTTATATTTATCTAGAACTCTAAGTGCAACTTCGGAAGTGATTTATCACTCTATTAGTAGTTCAGGTGAAAATTTTTCCAACTTCTAATATCATCACCCGCAAGTCACTGTTGCAGAACTTGTATAATAGTATTATAAATATTTTATTTAACAATAATATCTATTTTTTTAATTTTCAACTTATAACAAATAAATATTCATTGATAATAATCATTTGTTAATTGTATAGTTTTTGAAAATAAGTTATACAATTCAAGTTGTAAATCATCAAATGCTAATTTAAGTTTAATAATTAGTTTTCATAAAATTTCTTATTAATCCTTAACAGAACTTAAAGTTTAATTTAATGACTAATTTTTAGTAAATTTCGAAATTAATAACATATAATTGATTATATTTAGTTTATATTATTTTTTTTTTTAAACTGCAACTGGTATTAGATGCAAACTTTATTTAAGAATTAACTTAATTTTGATGAATAATTAAATCCTACAGCAGTTACATCAATCATCTTCTATAAGCCATATATTTCTATATCTATGCAGCTTAATGATGACCTATCGTAGTTTATCCTAGATAGACCTGTAACCACTCTGTGAGTGAACAGACCTAGTTAGGGGCTGAATGATCAATACACAATTATAAACGGCTAGTCTAGGCTAGTTAGTATTGAGCTTTACAAATTTCTATTGTTTCACTAAGCTAGTCTATAGTTAATTGTACCCGATGGAATATAACACCCTCCAATATTCCCTAGATATTATTTGCTCAGACCTCGGAAGGGGACACTTTCCTTCTTTGTCATCACCTATGGCATCGGATCAGTCCTTATTGACTGATTTTCAATTAAGTGGAGCACCAGATTGGGATATCCTGAGCTAGAAGAGTGGGGGATCTGGAGGCTGTCAGGTCAGAGTGAGCTTGGGACATTTTGTGTGAAGCTAGATCAGAAGCCTTTCTTCATGCAATCCTTCCAGTAATACGACTGTAGATCTCAGTTTCTGATCGACAGAAGGCCAAAAGTTCTATCTTCATGCAGCCTAACCTGCTTAGAACTTGTTCCAGATGATTGGGTACGACTTTCACAGGATAACCGGTCAAACCTGATCCGAAGGATAATTTTTGATTTTGGTCCTTAAATAGTATTGAACTACAGATCTTGTGATTGTGTCCTGGAAGCAATAATTTAGTTTATATTATTTTAATATTTAATTTTAAATTATCTATATTTATTGTTTAACTGATTATATATTTTTTTATAAATTTAATATCAAATATTTTAAGTGTTTTATCAATAACAAAGTAATGTTTTTCTTGTATCAAATTAATTAGAAATATAGATTAAAGATTTTGAAAAGTTATAATTTACTTTAAAACTTTAATAATAAAAATCTTACTATATATTCAACATATTTTATTTTTCTAATTATAAAAAATAAAGATAAAAATATTATTAAATTATATACTATATATATATATACTGTATATATATATATTAACTTGCAATTATGTTAAAATAACTTGTTTTTATTAAGGCTTCAACAAACTTCTGGCAGATAGGAAAAAGGAGTCAGAAAAAAAAAAATATGTCTGGCAATTGATAACAGAATAGAAAAAGGAGAAATGAATAAGAAGATAGCTCAACTGGTGGAAAGGATCTCAAATACTGGTCGGGGTATTCTTAACTTCTGCATGGGACTAATAGAAAAGGACCTAATGGATGAGATAGCAGACTCAATGTGTTATGGAAAAAGAATCGGTA